GAGAGAGAGAGAGAGAGAGAGAGAGAGAGAGAGTGTTTGCGTGTGTGGACTTGACGACAGTCTTGCAGGCAGTCCGCAGGTGAACAGACTCTCACCGCTTGTATAAATCTATTCTTGAAGGAAGTCAGTGCCACACCTCTGCTGCTCCTGTTATAAAACATTAGAACCACGTACTACGTGGGGAGTGGGGTCTGAAAAGACGGGTAGAACCACGTCTTGCGTAAACGCATACTTTTTCTCCAACTTTGAATGCTTTTGAGTCACCAGCTTCTTACAGCACAGGGCAGATTGTTGCAAATAAGCGTGTAAATGGAGAAGTTGGGACGCATAGTGTTAATGCAAATCTTTCCGTTAGAGGGACAGGATAAAAGGATAAAAGGCAGATATACAGGATAAAGGAAAGGTTCCTCATACTTTCTGGTGAGTTTGGTACTTATTTTATCTCTGAGAGACAAATGTGGAATGTTAATTTGTTTGAGTCTTCGGGTGGATACTCGACAAAGATGTGTACGCTTTTAACAATTTTCTTTTTTAAATTGTTGTGGGTTCTTCGTAAAAGTTGGCTCATTTTAATTTTCTTACCACGCTTTCTTCTTCTAGCGGGTGGCTGAAGGGTGTCACTGATAGGTCCTACTTCTTTAACTTTCCCTCTGTTGTTTATGTCTGTTTGTCTCACTTCTCCCAGCGCTAAATTAAATGATCATTATTGTGTCGATGCATGTCTCTTTACTCAAAATGAACAAACAACAAAATTCTCATTTTTCTCAACTACATCTTATGGAGTTGTAAGCTCTTCATCTCACAGTGCCGCTGATGTTTTTATGTGCATGGTCGTTTTATCTATATATTTTATATAGAACGAAGACTCACCCCTTGCCTTACAGACAGCTATATATTTTCTTTTTTCGAAGACCCTCTTGATAATTGTTTATAGTTACTGGAGTGGCTTCACATCTGGATAAGAATTAATTCTGAAATATGCCCAGACGGCACCCTACTCTTTTCGAGTTTAGAACCACCAAGGGATCTTTAACGCACGAAATTTCCACAAGGGACTGACCTCTGAAACACACACCGACCCATACATAAATACACACAGATTCACAAGCATGCTAACACACACACACACACACACACACACACACACACACACACACACACACACAGCGCGCGCGCACACACATAAATACAATAAAACATAAATCTATAGACACGTTTGTAAACAATCAGTTAATTTGTGTTAACAGAGAGCAGCAGAGAACGCTATCTCTTCAGTGTAGTCAGCAGGGCAACAAGTAAGTTCAAACCTATTCCCTCACTCTTGTTTGCCTCATCTGAACCTGCGGAGTTTTGGTATTGTTAACTCTTTCTGTACCAAATGTCAATACGTGGGTGGTTGGAGGGTGTCACAGGTACGTCTTACTTTTCTTACTTTTTGGGGGGATAGATCCTAGTTGGTGGGAGGTCTGGTGTGGTTTGTCCTTCTGATTATGTTGCAAGTGCCGTAAATCTCTCACCATAAGTAAACTAAACTTTTTTTTCTTTCCCCTCTGTTGTTTCTCTCTTATTTTCCCTGCAGGAAAGGACCGTTATCGTGTCGAGATGCTTTTTTTTTTTTAACTACACAAACAGATTGCCATTTTTATCAGTGAGATCACGGAAGTGACTGGCCTGGTTATTGCCGCATTGGCCTCTAAAGTGATATCGTCCTTTTGTGAAGTGAAGGCGATAAGATAATATCGTCTGCTAGAATTGCGTCATCGCGTGGGGCAGATCATACTGTTGTGTGTCGTGGAATACGTGTAGTTTGCAGTGTCAGAGAATGTGCATCCC